TACTAGGGGCTCCTGGCCTTACTACTAGGAACAAGGACGCTACTAGGGGCTCCTGGCCTTACTACTAGGAACAAGGACGCTACTAGGCCATAGCGCCAGATTTGCGACAGCCTTTTCTGTTGTTTCGTCCTCAGAGACATCAAATCATACCGTGGAAGCGTGATGCACGGAATCATTATGTGCAAGTCAATGCGGTCGCGATTTGACTTTGTCTCAACACTGACACCTTTTTTCAGAAGCCTGGATTGCTGAGTCCAATCTTGCTGATGCCAGGAAGAAAGCAACATCATTCCATCTTGATCTTTGCTGTTCACAAGCGTTGCTGCCCTTGACAGTGAAGAACGGCGCTTTCCGCGTTCTTATAACGGGGGCACTGCGACCTGTGGCAGGAGGGAACTGACGCAGCCCGTCCAGGATGCACAAAATGTGACAGGAGCTTTTTCTGCACTTCGTGCCGTTGGCAAGACGGTGAAACTGTTGGCCTCTAACTCTAGCTTTCAGACTGTTGCCAATGCAGCTTCTGGGCGCACGACACTTGATCAAAACAATGAGCTCGTGACTTTCAGTCGGAACTAGGTTTGCACCCTGTGGTTCAGCCGCACTTGATCATTGAAGTTGGGCAGAACCCTTTTTCAAGTTGGCTTAGACGGATGTTTTTTGGCCAACCCTTTTTCGGAGAGCTGCTGGAGACCACAGGCAGCAATCTTCCATTTACGGGTTCCTCCTTAACAGGTCGGCCTTGAGTGCATTTGAGAGACGATCCTGCATGACAAGGTTGTTGCGATTGGAAGCTTTTGCGCTCAATGATATATGTTTAGGAAAGAAGCCCATGCCGGGTGCGTCTCCTGTAGTAGCCGGCGTGCATTTGCCAGAACTTGTGCAACATGGCAGTTGCCGTGTTGGTAAGGTATTCTGAGGCCAAAAAAAGGATTGAGCCATAGGCCACAGAGATTCGTTGCAATTTGGCACATTCCAAAAGATCATGCGTTCCGGCAGCAAATTGTGGCAGAACCAGTTCCGCTCAAATCATACTCCTCCTCCTCAACCGGTGCGGGAGGACACAAGTGAATCTGATGTGCGATGCCAGGAGCCCCTAGTAGCGTCCCTGCTCCTAGTAGCGATGCCGAGTGTCTAGTAGCGTCCTTGTTCCTAGTAGTAAGGTTAGGAGCCCCTAGTAGCTTCTTGCTCCAGTGCAAATGTGTTCCATGTGGCCATGGGTTGGTCGTGCCCAGTACACCTGGGCTGAGATTCCTTTGAGCACACCTCTCTCTAAAGACCAGCAACCTTCTCGGAGGAACATTTCAACTTGTTTTTACGTTTCTGCAACAACTTACGTTGAAGAGTTGGTGAAGGACTTTTAGCTTCAAATTTTTGAGTTTGCCATTCTGGCACTTTAGGCTGCCTCCGAATACAGAGTGACCCCTTCCTCTTTGGCAAAATTCCTGCGTGACCGTTCGGCTCGTGTTTCATGCTTTCTGCAAGGGGGTGAAAAAGTCCCCTCTTAGTTGGCAGATCCCTTTGGACCAATTGAATTGTGTTGAAGGGTCGATGGACCTCTGGTCAGGAGCGCCGCATGCCCCCTGACTGGCAGAGCACTTCCGAGTTTGTGTGAGAGAAATAAAGGCCGCGTAACACCTGCATGTTTGTTTTTTTTCATCTCTCTTTCGGCCTAACTTCATTCGAGGTTTCTGTTCTTATAAAAAGCACATGCTGGCAGATGCATCAATCTGAAAGAATCTCTCCAGGAGACCCATGTCCGACCCGTCTCAAAATACAAGGGACTACTTGGGACTACTTGATCTAACGAACTACTTCTCCATTCGGACCAATTGGCAACACCTGCACATGGATACATCATGGCAACTACACTGGTCAAATACATCAAGTCTGACTAACAGACTGCAAGTTGCAGCTTCGGGTTTTCGGAGCATCTCTGAATTTCTGAAGAGCTGCATCTGGCCGCTTCGCCAACCTCTCTCGTATTCGTGTCCACCCTCGCTTGCAGCCTGAGGATCACTGTCACCAGGCCCTGAGCCGGTGGTTTCTTTCGGTGATCTTGGATCACAACATTTCAGGTTGGAGGCCATCGCTACTAGGGTGGAGGCCATCTCGTTGGAGGCTAGGAAGTAGGTTGGAGGCCATCGCTATTGGGTTGGAGGCCGTCGCGCCCACCTCAGGAGAAAGAGTAACAATTCCAATTCCCTCACTGTCTTTGCCATGGAATACACACGTCATTCCTCCCATTTGGTGTGGCGGTGTGGCCTGCCTGTCTTTGGGTGAGGCTTTTCATGCACCTGGAACAAGAGGTGAGAACATTAAAGCCTTCAAATCAAAGCAGAAATCAAAGAGATTAGAAAAGGAAGGTGTTTGGTCCCCCTTAAAAAGGCCGCCTTCAAAGCAAATCTAAAGCATGATTTGTACAAAATAAGTTGCACCAGTCGCATCATGTGAAGAAAACCAGCTCGTCGTCGGATGTATGCAAATCAACCAGGTCAGCATGGGAGAGACAAGCAATCCCCACTTTAAAGTTACGAGTTTGTCAAACAGAATGTATGAGTTGGTTCTGAAAAGAGTTTCTACAATCCAGCTGAGCGTACCTTGGCCCACCACCTTGAGTACCCGAATCAATCAAAGCCCCTGGTTAACCTCTAGGAGCTTTGCTAAGCCTTACAAAGAACAATAAGCGCTCTCCTATTACGCATATTGGAAGAAGGACCAACGACCAAATGTCTGAAGGTTCAAAGAAAAAGCACGTACTCAATTCAATTATATAATAGAGATGGCCTGCAACCTAAGAGGAATGGCCTCCCACCTAGAAGCAATTCAATTCCAACGAAAGGATCACAAGTTAATTTTCCCCACACATCTATGAACCCAATCACCAGTGCGAGGGCTTGTTCGAGAGCGAGGGGAGCTTCCTTGAAAAGGCCTGTTTGTAGCTTCCTAGCTACTAGTAGCTCGACTAGTAGCTCTACTAGTCTCTATATATAGCACAGAGCTTTCCCGCTTTCCTGCGACCTCTCGAAAAAGCTCCATTTTTGGATCGACATGGAAGGCCTCGGTGAAGGCCTCAGGAGCGAAGGAAAGCAAAAGCGCGCCTCTCGGAGAAAAAGACGAAGAAAGAAAGGAACCAAAGCATAACTAAAGCGAGCAAATAAGACGTAAATAGAAACTAGGACACAACATGTTCAAACAATTAAAGAACGAACGGGGAAAGGAAGAAAGTCACAACAAACTTCTGCAAATAGGTATTCACAAGGACCACCATCAAGAGTGTTCTTGACTGTCTGACACGCATAATGCGCATAATGGAACGGAGAAAGCATGAAAGCTTCCTTTTAAGTAGTAGTGTTTGTCCAGAACAGTCTTATGGTTCTGACTTTGAGTGTAGGCGTCCAGGTTCCGTCTCAAGCAGTTTGTCCGCCATCCCCATCCCAAGATCCACAAGCATTAAAATGTTTCTCATCCCCCTTCTCAGTACTAACAAGAAAGGCCGTTAAACGGGCTTGCTACGCGCAAGAAGACTTGTTGTGCTCCTGGCAAGTTCACTCCTTTGTTTCCCGAAAAATAAAATAACAAACATGAATGGCGTAAGCTATCCTGCGTCCAGTTGCTAGTAGCGCCCAAGTAGCTAGGAGCTTGTTTTACTGCCTTACTTATTTAAGGAGGCAGGGCCACAGGCTTAAGGGCCGCCACTGGGTGCTCCGGGCGATGTGCGTGGCTCCCCGTGGCGGCAGGGCTGGGCCGATCTTCCGCGAGGTTGCCTGGTGGGGAACATTTAAAAAAGCAACAAAAACTACTAGCGTCCTTGCTCCTAGTAGCGATGCCCTTCCTTAGTAGCTTCTTGCTCCTAGTAGCAAGGCCAGGAGCCCCTAGTAGCGTTTATACATGTTTATACAACTTGCTGTAGTGTTCGTCTTGCTTCGTTTTGCTTTGCTTCTATTTTTATGTCTACAAGTTTCAATCAATTCTTAAACCGACTTGGGGAGATTTCCAGAGGTTCTCTGGAACACATACAGGGAGTTCCTACTAGCGATGGCCTCCACGTCTTTTGAGCTTGAAACATTTGTACCATTGCAGCACCATCCACGATCAGCACCGCTTTGCTCCCGCGACTTCGCCTGGCTCATGACCATGCCGCGACTGTGCCTCGTGTGCGCCGACACAGGAAAATAAGGCTTGTGAGGCTGACTGTTTGATTCTTAGGCTTGCAGGTCCTTCATTTATGTGCAACCAGGATGACTTGCTTTGAAGGATGACTTTTGTTCGATATCCAATGGGGTCCGTCTCGGTCCATTCCGGATCCACCGTCTCGGTCGGCCAAGCAGCACTTTGGACTCCTCCGGGACCGGACCCACATGGTCGACCTCGATGGCACTGCAGTCGGCCGTTGGACAACGAGGACATTGGCGCAATCTGTGCCACCGAACCACCCTCACGAACCTGATACACTCTGATACACAAATCGAATCAAACTCAGCCGACTTCATCGCTAAGCAAGGAGCCGAACTTGCCTCCACAGGCCTCAGTGGTGATACAGTGCGAAGCGTGGTGATACAGGTGCTAGCTGCGCTGCTAGCTGAGTCTCACTCTCAAGTCGAAAAGGTCGGAAACCAGCCGAGTCCCTTCGAGTCCCTGCTTCCCGCTACAGGACAGCTTCACACAGGGTAGGTGCAAGTAGGTGCAACAAACATCGTCACCAACATCTCCAACCTTTGAGCAGCCCTGACTGAATAACATTGGAATAACGACCGCAAACCGAGACGCTCATCTCTGGAGTCTTTGAACGCCAATAGAAAGTGAGAATTGACTCGACTCGACTCATGGAGGGAGAAAAAAACAAGCACTGAGATGAGCTCAACAAGCCCGAAGAATCACTCCCATGTAAGGTGGTTTCGAGAAGATTCTTGATTCAACATGAGATTTGTTTAACTGATCCTCCAGGCAGTGCAGTGACAAAACCTCTAGAACCTCTACAGTAGCTCTTAAGTTGGAGGCCATTGCTCTTAAGTTGAAGGCCATCTCTCTTGCGTTGGAGACCAACATTATCAGGATGGCGGCCATCGCAAAAAGGTTGGAGGGGCCATCGCTTAGGTTGAAGGCCATCGCTCTTAGCTTGCAGGCCATCGCTCTCAGGTTGGAGACCATCGCTCTGAGGCTGAAGGCCATCGCTTAGGTTGGAGGCCATCGCTCTTAGGTTGGAGGCCATCGCTCTCAGGTTGGAGACCATCGCTCTGAGGTTGAAGGCCATCGCTTAGGTTGGAGGCCATCGCTCTCAGGTTGGAGACCATCGCTCTTAGGTTGAAGGCGATCGCTCTTAGGTTGGAGGCCATCGCTCTTAGGTTGGAGGTCATCACTCTTAGGTTGGAGGCCACTACATAGGTTGGAGGCCATCGTTCTTAGGCTGGAGACCATCGCTCTTAGGTTGGAGGCCATCGCTCTTAGGTTGGAGGCTGTCGCTCTTAGGAAGGAGGCCATCGCGCTTAGGTTGGAGGCCATCGCTAGTAGGTTGGGTCAAAGATTTTGACATCTGTTGATCTGGTACTCATCTGCTGTGGGTCACTTGTTCTCCAGAAGTAGATTGCTCCTCCAACTTGCTCTGGGCCCTTGGGAATATGTTTTTTATTCCTATTTTCACCTCCAACCTATAGAAGCAATGACCTCCAACCTAATAGCGATGGCTTCCCCCTTGGGACTGAATTTACTATTATCACAGTTGGCGATGGAGAACACTACGCCTCTTACTTAGAAAATGTTTTTTCTCCCCTTCTCTCTCTCTCTCTCTCGCGTGAAAGTATAGACCCAGTGTCTCACCACCATAACATAATGATCCAAAACAAACCTATCTACGGTTTGGTGGAAGCCCCACACATCGGCGAGTCTAAGGAGATTGAGAACTGTCGGAACTTCGTCGCAATCTTTGGCTCCTTTTTACTTCAAATGGACTGCAAATGGACCAGCCCGGCCAAATGGTGGGGATGTCTCAATGTAGAAGATGGCAATCGATGGAAGTGAACATATCCAAATGGTTCTTTGCAGTCTTTGAGACACGACATACCCATTCAATTCTTTGCGGCAGTGGCTGCTGACAAGGAACAAGCGAGCGCAATTCCCAACTAAAACATCATAAGTACTGCAGGATCTTCTTGAAGTGTTCGAATGATGGTATGTCAAAACAGGACAAACACTATTCACAATTCACAGATTTTGTCAGTTCATGAATTCAGATTGTTGGAACGTTCCTTTTATGCAACGTGAACAAACGTGGCTCACCTCGTGGCCAAAAAACGTGACCAACAGGTTTTTCCGCAAAAAGGTGTGCGACAGTAAGGGGCTCTTAGAGTAGCTAAAGCACGGGGTCAAGATCAAGGGTCCCTCTTGTTCGTCGCGCTGGTTTCTGTGCCAAGCTCACGAAAGGTATCTAGAACCTCAGTGCTCAATCCAGGTTCGCGGAATCGGTGTCTAAAGCTTGTTGTTTTCCATTTCAGACGCCAGTACCGCTCACTTTTCACGGTCATTTTGGACAGGTGCATGAGATTGTTCGTACTTTACTTTCACTTGCAAATGTTACGGCAAGTGCATTTGACATGCTGATGTCCTGAGGGTTCAGATTCCGAGCAAGGCACAGTGAATCGTGCACGTCTCAACATGTGCCCAAAACTCACAGCATCGTGGGGCCAGCGAGCATGAGAACTTGTCCTGGTGGAAAGTAACGAGGGGTGGCGCCACGTTGTTTCATCTGAGACTTCGCAAAGAAGCTACGAACGGGGCTCCTGGCTGCTACTAGGAGCAAGAAGCTACTAAGCAGCTACTAGGAACAAAGGGCATCGCTACTAGGAGCGAAGAAGCTACTAGTGGCTCTTTGAAAGGTCGCGAGTTTGGTGGAAAAGACTTTGAGAAAACGCGCTGACTCGAACCTGACAACTAGCAAGGCCCCTTGAATGCAAACAGAAAACCAGAACGAACTGCTCTTGATCATTAGATTGCTTAGCCCCAAATGTCTGTTGATTGCTGTGTGGGTGGAGGCGATCGCTCTTAGGTTGGAGGCCATTGCTCTTAGCTTGGTGTGCCCAGCACCAATCTGTTTCAACGCCCTCTCCTCAGAGCCGTCCGTGTGGCACCCATGCGCGGTAGCGCTTCTCGCAATTGGCGCGAAGGTTTCCATGGAAGAGCGCCTCAAAGCGGGTGGGTGATGTGCCACTTGGGCACAACTTCTCTTTTTGAAGACCTTTCTTCCTTATTCTTAATAGCAATGGCATCCAACCAAATAGCAATGGCCTCCAACCTACTTGGGGAACTTAGAGAAAGGTATAGAGATGCAACACGAGCATACAAAACCATTCCATCTAGAGCGCAAGTTAAGATGACTGAAGTGGACCAGTGCGTGTGTGGCCTTTGTTGGTAGCGTCGCTCAGTTTTAACACCGTGGATGACCGAGAAACTCGCCCGTTTGGCTGTTCTCAGTTGACAAACCCGTCAAACTTCATTGGATCAACAAACAGTGAAACTAACGAAGGCACAGTTTCAAGGACGCTATTAGGTGGAGGCCATGGCAAGTAGGCTGGAGGCCATCGCAAGTAGGTTGGAGGCCATCGCAAGTAGGTTGGAGGCTACTAGTAACAAGGGCATTGCTAGAGCCGAAGACCAGTCAAAATCTAGGCCGAACCAGCAACACTTCCTCCTGACAGCTCTCGCAAACTGGACAGGGGCCATCCCTTCCGCTTTCAACAAACTCCACCGCTAGCCGTGCGTCCTTCCAAAAGACCTCAAGCGTGACTGCCGCATGTCAACACGGCACATGTCACATATCAGTGCAGCCCAGGAGCCATATCCAAGTCATGATACCTCAAGAAGTCATCCTCCGCCAGGGTAAACCAGCAATCTGTGGGCAGTGTTGGCACACGAGTGGCCTGAGGGCAGAAAACAAACGGCCAGAAACGGCGAAAAAGAAAACACTCGCTGACACCGGTGGACCAAGGTGACGAGTGCAAAGAAACAAACAAAATGGACCACGAACAATGCATGCAAAAACACGGCAACATGGCACTACGCGGCTGATCATCAGTCGTGGCACGAGACACAGCCACGTAGTTCATCACGTTTCCACACTACTTCACAGGAAACAAACGCATTGTCCATCCACCCAGGACCTCTTCCAAAAGTTTCCCGTGGTGGAAGGAATGTGAGGCCCTCAATTGCCCTGGTCTGATTTGGCTCCTAGCTGAGCTGGTGGAAGGCCGTGTTTCGCTGTGGTGAACGACACCTTGAATGGAGCAGCACAGCCGCATGATTCTGACCTGGACACACCGAGGCATCCACCCCATGGACTATGACAAGAAGCGGGTGAAAGAAGCAGTCCAGTTCTGGCCTTCTGTTGAAGGCGCCAGAAGGAGGAACATTTTCAGAAGAAGATCCTCAATCCCTTTCCTTCGTGACGGAAGGAGCCAGGACTGCTGAAGAAATGTCCAAAAATGAAGAACAGGAGCTGGAGGAGCAGGACAGTGAAGAGAGCTCATGAGGTGAAGAAATGGCGTTTCGTGACAAGCGCATGCAACAGTGGTTTGACCACCTACAAGAAGGCTTGGGCATTTGTGTCATGTCTGAAACAGAAACACCAGAGTCCGAGTCAAATGATGAAACCAGCGGCAGTGAAGATGATCAAAATTCCTCCTCATCGCATGAGATCGGCGTAGAACTGTGTCAAGTGAGGTCAAGTGAGACTCTCAACAGGCACCCTATAAACAAGCACGGGGAAAAATGAAGGGCACTTGACTCAAAGGTTGTCTAGGTTGGAGGCCATCGCTATTGGGCTGGAGGCCATTGCTCCTAGGTTGGAGGCCATCGCTATTTGGTAAGAGGCCATTGCTATTCGGTTGGAAACCATTGCTTTAAGTAGGTTGGAGGCCATTGCTCTTAGTAGGTTGGAGACTATTGCTATTAGTTTGCAGGCCATTGCTATTAGGTTGGAGGCCATCGCTATTAGTATTAGGGTGGAGGCCATTGGTTGGAGGCCATCGCTATTTGGTTGGAGGCTTTGCTATTCGGTTGGAGGCTATTGCTACTAGTAGGTAGGAGGCCATTGCTCTTAGGTTGGAGGCCATCGCTATCTGGTTGGAGGCCATTCCTATTAGGTTGGAGGCCATTGCTGTTAGGTTTGAGGCCATTGCTCTTAGGTTCGCTATTAGGTTGGAGGCCATTGCTCCTAGGTTGGAGGCCATCGCTATTAGGTTGGAGGCCATTAATTGCTGTTAGGCTGGATGCCATTGCTATTAGGTTGGAGGCCATCGCTGTTAGGTTGGAGGCCATTGCTCC